TTCGAGTTTAGGCAGCATACTAAAGACAACCAGGAGGGTTTGACAAACCGTTGGTAAGCTGCAGTTTGTGATCTTTGCTGCCTGAGATATCAGAGCTGTTTAGACCGCATGATACGGTACGAGTAAGGACACAGCTCAAGGAATGTGGTTTGAAGATCAAAGCCCAGACTTCAGTTCTCCTCAGACTGTCTCTCTTCAGTAAAGTCACATTCTCTGCTGGGTTCTCAGTTTAACTCACTCAAATTGCAATAATGATATTTATCTGCCTCTGGGATACTACACTTAGCAACGCTTGCAAAGCACCTGGGAGCTTGTGATGGAAGGGGCAACATGTGTGTGTATATATATATATATATATATGTATGTATACACACACAAAGAGTCTTCTGATTTTTTAGAAATCTTTACTTTGTGCCATGCAGCCAGAACCAGGGGTTTGTGCCAATACTGCTCTGTCACCTAGTAGGCCTTGCATTTGTGAATAGCTCAGGCATCTGCCAAGAAGGCTCAGGCCAGCCTATCTCCAAGCTGAAAAGGTTCCTTGTTTTACAAGAAGAAAACCCAGCATGTTTCTGCAGTGGCCTTTTAGGATGCAGATGCAAGAGATAAGAGACAGGGAAGTCATTCCAGGGATCTGGCCCCTGTCCAAGCAGAGGGCGTTCTCAACATTGATAAGATCAAGGCAAGAGCACAAGAGGTTTATGTTCCGATTTAAAATTCTTGTTTTATTTTTACATAGCAGAAAACTTCTCTCTGATCAGCCAGGTTATCAGACTGAGGTTATCAGATTGGCCTTGAAATCCTTATTCCCTCTCTGCTTGCCCCAACAAGAGCTCTTGAGATAACCAGGGGCTTGCCAGTTGTGTCTTCTACCCACCTACCGCTACTGAGATAAGCCCAGCTCCACCAATCCCACTCAAAGACTGCACGTAGGAGTTTGTGAAGGAAGAACAAGAATAGTACTAGATAACAGACTTGTAACCCTCATCCCAAGAGGGCCTGGAGAACTGAAGACTTACGGTATTGCAGAAAGACTTTGGAAGATGGGTCTCTGCCTTCAGAGCTGGCTACAGCTGACCAAGCCTGGTCCAGGGCAGAAGTAGTTACACCCTGCAAGCACATGCACGTACAGTCATCCTCCTTCCAGCACTAAGGAAGCGTCTCCATTAAACCCCTGACAGCACCACGCAAACATGGTCTGGATGCTAAAATACCCACGCACGTGCACGTACCCATTGCCCACACCTAGTGCCTTGCTTCCAGTTACAGACATTACACTGGCTCACACTTTGGGGCACCAGTGACCACGTCTGCACACACACAGTGCCCACCTCACTGTGCAACACCCACATAGGCCCATGCTTACCCCTCACCTTGCACTGGCACGTGCTATGCTACATGTACCTGTTATGGACAAATCCATACTTCATACACATGCTGTCACCTCCAATTTATCTATCTCTGCTCGCCTGCCCGCAGGGGCCGATTCTCCTGTTCCATTATCCTCTACTGGAGGAGCCAGGGGGGAAACAGAAGCGAGATTTTAATATTATTTTCTCTTCACTGAGGCCCTGATCTCTCACAGCTGCTATTCCTGAAAACATTTCAAACACAACGGAGATGCTGCACATTTGGGAAGTTTGTTAATCTCTCAGCCTTAATCTGACTAGCTTCTTACAGACTTGTCACATCACTGTCCCATCATCCCACTTAAGAACTGCTGAGCGAGTGCAAAGGCTGTAGCCTAACACTGCCTGAGCTGGCCCATGGCAAGCTGAAGTACAGGGAACAACATCAAGGTGACACCTTAGCCTTAAAACAGCACGTGGAGAAGCAAAACTCAACCTGGGTCACCTGCTTCAGTGACTCTCAAGGACCATGAACATTTCCAAGGGCTGAAACTGTGTTTCAGTGCCAGAGGGCAAACACACTGCCCCTCCATCTCACCTTCCCATGGGAGACTCTTCCAACAGTAAAGGGAGGAAAAGCATAGCCGAGATGATGCATGGGAAAGCAACACCTTGCGTCCTGACATGCCAGCAGAGCCCCAAGACGTCAAGGCAACCAAAATATCTGCTGGGGGGGGCGGGGATGGGGATGGATATTTTTAAAAGCACACATTATATCACAACCGCATGAGATGCTGCCCTCAGTAAGAACAGAATGAAAATGCTGCATTGATGTTACTAGCAGGTCACTGTCATCATCATCCTCACACAGGAGAGGATAAGCACAATCCTTTCTCTTTCAAGCTATTCAGCAGCCGGAGAACTGGGGGGAGAAAGCAGGGATCCTTGCTTCAAACCCCTGGCATGAGCCATTAGGTAGCCTGCCTGCTCCTCAGATCAGTTCACTCACTGCATCTCCATCCAGTTGCACACTGTCTGGATGTCGCTGCCCTCCTCAGTTTGTAGAGACTGCATGATCTCTGTCTATGCTGGAACAGGAGCACTTGTGCATCAGAGCTTCTCAGGGCTACAGCGACACAAGCAAACTGGTTCACATGGTGACATTTCCTGTTCAGACCTGCAGACAGTCACCTGGTTCCTCCAGTAACAGCTCATCAACCCATTTGCTATGAGAGATCTGTCTTTATTTCCTCCATCCTCACCACAATGGCAAAGTCCAAACACTGAACCTGTGTCACCAGACCCTCAGCAACAGAGAGCCAAGCCTCTCACTTTGCCTCCTGCTATCATCCTTTGCAAAAGGCCACATTCAGTAGGGCTTCAGCGTAGCCCTCCCAAGTGAACCAAGGTCCCCAGCATGCTTTCACTCCATCACTGAATGCTGGGCAAGGGCCAGAAATCACAGAACAGTTGAGGTTGGCAGGCACCTCTAGAGACAGTCAAGTTCAACCCCCTCTCCTCAGAGCAGGGTCAGCAAGAGCATGTTGCCCAGGACCGTGTCCTGGCATGCTTTGACTATCTCCAAGGACAGACATTCCACAATTTCTCCGGGCAACCTGAATCCCCTCCATTTCAGCTTGTGCCTGTTACCTCTTGTCCTGCTGCTGGGCAACACTGAGAAGGAACCTCGTGCCAAGCATGTCTTACTGGCTGGACTGAGGTTTCCCTTTATATGATGAGAGCACAGCATCATCCTTCAGAAGTATCAACCTCTCTCAGCTGCTTTCAGAGCTGAGGGACCTTGGCAAGGTATTCTGCCAGGAACCTGCTGCCTCCTTTCTAAGCCAGGTACACAAAAGCAGGCACTCACAATCACTTGAAAAATAGAAGCAAAAACGCTCCTTTACCTAACAGCTCTGCCACCACAACAGACCAACAAGAGACTGTGAAGTATCATATGCTATTGTCATGGAAACAACACGAGCACCTCAGGTAGAGAGCTTGACAAGGTTGGCCACAGAAGCATGGATTCTGTGCCATCTGTCAGAATGGCATGCTCTGTTTCTGCTGTTTACTTTAGTGTGAGCTGACACGGGCTCAGCAGGGAGCAAAGGGATAATTCTGCCTCTCAGGTTCTCCAGGGGCACAAGAGTAAGCCACAATAATGAGCTCAGGGTGTCAGAGGAAACCACACCACTGAGGCGTTGCTGAAACCCCAGGGACTGGGGGACTGCCACCAAGCAGTACTGGCAATAGCTGCAGTCCAGGGACACCCAGAAAAAAACAGCAAAACCACATGGGGCAGGCATAAAGGTGATAAGTCGTGCTAAAACGCTGCAGGATTAGACCGTCGGTAGGTCTGAAGGACAGGCACAGTCTGGAGAGAGCTCACGGGGCACAGGAGGAGACAGCTCTACTGAAAGCAATCCAGGCACGAGCACAAGAGAATATACAACAAATCAGGATTACTTGTGCAATCAGAAGTATCAGGTCATTGTGGGGCTGCTGGAAGACAAGACTGAAGTGCTCTGGCAAAAGGCATGTGAGGAGCTGGAGAGATACCAGCCAGCTCTGCACAAGGCTCTAGCCAGCCCTACCTGCTCCTCTTCCTCTCAAATACCAAATTCACCCACAAAGCAGTGATGGGCAGAGACACCCAACAGCATGCCCATAAACAGTAGCACTTCTGGGTACACAAAAGCATCAGTTCCATTTCCTGCTGGGCAAGGTGTGAACCCTGAAGGATCCTGGTCTGCCATTCATCTCTCTTGCAAGGCTATAATTACTGCAGTGAAAGTAGCAGTTTTATCATAAAGGATATCTGCTTTCTTCACCATGACCTGGTTTTGCCTGTGTATCACAAGCATGTGGAGGATCATCTGAGGCTCGGTCGCCTGAGGCACTTGTTTTGGCTGCAACGTGCAAGGTCATGCACACATCTCCCACAGCACCATACAGCACTGACTGAAAGAAAGCCAAGCCACCAACAAAGGAGTCAGGGGTTGGCCAAAGAGTCAGGGCATGGGGTACTAGAGGCAAAGACTGAGGTGCAGGCAGCACAAACTACAAGCAGGAGAGTTAGGCAAGCCTAGCCCTGCTAGGCATGTGTACACTCAAGAATGTGAGATGGTCAGACACTGCAGTGTTATCGCAGCTACAAAGCCACCCAAGAAATCTAGCTCTCTCAACTGCCATCATCCAGTCCCACATCCCATACAGTTCTGCAGACGGCAGTGCACCATGCAGGTATAGTCCCTTTCCCACACCTATCTACCAGGACCTCTCACCCCTACTAAACACCACTTGTTACCTCAGGTCAGCACTTCCCTTGGTCGAGAAGGATCCAAACGACACCCGACAGGACAGCTATGCATAACTGTAAGCTCACAGCAAGGGATGTAGACTTTCACTCCAAGGAAGCTTTGAACCCATAGTTTCCAAGATGGAAAAGCCAATGTATTAGCCTTGTCAGGACCTAATCTAAATTGCAATTACAGTCTATGCTCCAGACCAGCAACTTTTGTTATGCAGCTGATCAAGCCACAGGAAACCTCCAGAAATAATCTTCTGGGTGTAGATTTTCAAAGACAATCACCATATTTAGATATATGTGGAAAGATGAAAGAACTGCACCAGAAAAGGGCAACTTACACGAATTTTAATTACTCTAGTCTTCGTTCCACAATTCTTCTTGAGCAGCATCTTCTGAAAGAGAAGTAGAATCCAGGGATTAATAGCAGTAGCATGAGAGAACAGAAAGAGGGAGGTTGTAAGGAGTGTCTTTTCATCAAGATTTAATTAGCAAACAAGATGGATGGATGGTTAAGTGAGATATGAAAGACTACGAATTACCAGAGGTGGCCATCAAGTAATCAACCTAATCTGAGACTGTCTTGCCCAGCCTGCAGAGTCCTTTTGCAGTAGCTGATACTCTGGGTTTCGAAAGAACATACAAGAAATTCCATAAAGAAAGAGATGGAACAACTGCCTAAAAGGAAGGTTCTTCCTAATTTCTGTCAATTAGTGGTTAGACTTTGCCCTGAAGTAGGTGAATTTATCTTACTTTCATGAAGAAAAAATACTCTAATGTAAATGTGGATGTTCCCATTATTTAAGTTAATTTCATTATGTTTCTTTAGAATTAAAAAACAAGGTAAAAAGTACCTGCCCAGTCCTAAATGCCTTTGCCATATACTGTAAGAGCCATTAAAGTTGTCATAACATATGAACCACACAACTTAGCAAACAGGATATACTTAAAACAGCAATTACTCTGTGCAACTACAGAAATAAACAGGTGAGTTGCAGCTCTATTGCAGTTCTGAGGCAGTGCTTTGAAAGTTGGCAAGTGAATAAAATAATTTCCCCCCCTCAAAAAATTTCCAAAAAGCACAGCACAGCACCAAGGTTTCTATTCTAACCTAAAAGGACCCAACAGGTCTTTGCACAAACCAAGTAAGACTCAAAGGGAACTGCTGAACTGAACTAACCCAAGCCTGTGCTGCCCATCTAAACAAGTAATTCCCCGGGAATTCCTATAAAACAACACAGGGCTCCGTTCCCAGCCAGGCTGCAAGGCAGTTATTCTAAGACTGATATTTACTGTGAGGTTACTGACTTTAAGACCCCCCACAACCACACACTGAAAAAGGCTGAGGAGGAGGGAGAACTTGGCAGGGCTGACAAACCCCAGGGGTGCAGGGAAGGGCAAAGTGAGGAGTTGGGAGCTCTTGCAAAGTTTTGCTCTCTCCGTAAGCTTTTCTTCTAGACTGCTGTGAAATGTTGGCTCATGGGGTTGAGGAAGGGTAAGCTAGATAGCTCAAGCCACAAGCCCGCTGGTGGGATAAAATGTGCAAGACAAAGTAGGGTCGAGAATGAAAGTGAGAATCAAGACTCCAGATTTCAAGCTCCATCCTTTAGGGGAAGAGCACTGTTACAGCAGGACATACCCTGCTGCATCCCATTTGACTACTAGCTGCATGACTTTGGGTGAGACTCTCAGCTTCTCTAGGCTGCTATAAAGCTGAGCTTTACAGTGGTACTTTGTTGAACCCCCAGGGATGGAGTGAAGCTGTGACACCAAATTCCACAGTGCCTCAGTGGCATCATGGGATCCGTTGCTGAAAACGGGAAAGTATCTTTAAACACAACTCTGTTGGTCAGGGAGCAAGTACAACACCTTCTAGTATAGTCCAGTGGGGTCCAATGCCTAGCGAGGTCCCATCTACAGATCCCCTGATGACTCCATCAAGGTGCAACAAAAGACATTATTTCCCAACTACAAATTAGCAGAGGCAGCAAGACCTTAAATTTACTCTTCCTGCCCTTCTATTAAAACACATAAGGCGAAACAACAGAGACAGCAATTACAAGAAGATGACAAAGACTGACTGAAAAGTTTGAACTAGGCTGTGGGTAGATGAACAACCAGCCAGACTTTACCAAAAGGAATTCAAGTGCTCAGCTGTATCCCAAGTCCTATGCTTCTGGCAGAAAACAGAGGTGCTCTTTTAGTGATGCTGTTGTGATGAGCTTTAATCATATGAGGACCTTACTACTATTTGCACTATTGCTACAGTTCAAAGAGGTTGCGTTGTGCAGCAAGAGCAGGATGCCCTACATAAGAATATTTGTTAGTTAATAGTGATCTCTGGTGTGCCTCTTGATGGACTTCGTAGTAAAATGAAAACATAACATCCCCTTGTGCGCAGGCTGTAAAACTGGAGCATAAACCCCAGCAGAAGAAGTTCTCTGGAATTGCTGGGTTTTCCTACTTTCACTTATACTGGAAGCAGAGTAAGACCTCTTATGCTGCACTCTTCCAGCTTTGCTGCAAGGGTACAAGATCATCGTAACAGACAAAACAGAGAGAAGGAGGGAGAGCAAACCAGCCATATAATCCTGCAGCTAAGATTGAATAAATAGAAGGTCAGTTATCAAATATTATTCTATTTAATCAAATTGCTTCCACCTCACTTGCAGCCACATGTTCTCTGCACTCAGCACAGTAAAACCGTGCTTTACAAAAAGTAAGTCAAGCATCTTTGTATGGTTTTGCATCCCTTGGTTTTCCCTTTCCTTGCCAAACCCGAGCACAGAGTTTCGGATGGGGAAGCCAAAACACGGTGCTGCCTAGCAACAGCTGGGGACTTTCCACAGAAGCCTCTCCTCATCCTCCCTCTGGAGACCTCCACGTCACAAGCCAGCCATGAGATGCAGCGACTCATTAACTCCTATTTACATAGATATAAGGTAAAGCTGAAATAACATTTATTTGGCTACGTGACTTGCAGTAGCCTAAAGCCAGGGGGAATGGCCTCTAAGAAAGGTGACACGTTCAGTTTAGTAATCCCAGGATTATTCCTACTAGGCCAATCTGGAAGTGCAGTTTTATTTCCTTGAGTTATTTTTGGGGAGCTATGACAATAGAAGATCAGAGCACAGAAGATCAGAAGGAGAAGAGCAGAGATTTGCTGAAGGTTGTGGAGCGTGTTAGTAGCAGAGCTGAGAATAAATCATAGGATTTGGCTTACGAGACTTTCTTCCACCTGCAGAAAAGGAAACAGAAGAAAAAGGCAGCATCTGTGCTTAGCCTCCCTATTTCAATTAAAAAGTCTCTCCTGTTGGTCTCTGACAGAACTGCTGGCATCAGAGCAGAAACCTACAGCTTGAGACCACTATTATTTGCACTAAGGAAAGTTTATTTTATGATCTGCTGTGGCTTTTACTTAAAAGGAGGAAATGACATGACTAAGGAAATGTGGACAGACTTTTTGAGTTATGCCTCACTAAAAATAAGGCTTAATTGGAACATTTTAGGGTTAAACACCCAGAAAACAGCAGAATCAGTGCAGCCTAAGAGCCCTCCCACCAATCTCACCTCCTATTAGAAAAATACTCTCTGCTCATAACCCAGTGACTCTCTCCGTCCCGGACCTGGATGCAAAAGAAAGTTGGATGGACTGGAAGTGATCACTTAGAGGGTTACATATTTACTGAATGACATGCAGTAATAAAACCCTGAAGTGGCACACGTGGCTTTGCTGCGCATCACTGCCACATCAAAATACCACATTAAAAGCAGGTATGAACTACCACCCCTGCTTCCCTCAGAGCACAGCTCTCTAGTCCAGCCTTGCTTCAGGAGACATCTCCTATCAAGCAATAGTGGTTCAAGTCCTCTAACCCAGACTTCAGCAGTTCTGAACTAACCCAGACAGTAACTGCGGCACGCACGTATTCGCTTATGCACACAAGTTACTGTATCCAGAACTATTGTATACAAACTGCATCATCCAGATGATTGTAATATATATTAACAAACAAAACATAAGTATTCTTAATGCAAAGTCGTTCTAGGAATAGTGAAATTCTCAAGAAGGATGAATTTGTGTGACCCTACTGCAGTTCAAAAATAAATCTTTTACTCTGGGAATGAACAGTTTAAAGGCAGGCATCACAGCTTAGTTCTCAAATATTTAAAAGTTTGAACAATCTCTTAAATCAGTGTACAATGCAAGATATCAGCTTGTATATTAATAAACACCTTTCATCTCATATCTGCTTTTTATATGCACATTTCTATTTTTAGAATGGTTTCGTTTTCACTACCTCCATAGAACAAAGCAACATCTCTTTTGTCTACTAGTGGCTGGGTTTTTTAATTATTGTTATTATTTATTTATTTTTATTATCTGGCTGTGGTTTTAAACTCAAGGGACTGTCTAGAGTTGGATGCAGTTTAACTACTGCCATTTTTTTCAAACCAGTTTAGTCTATTTCATGCAAGACAGCACAGGAACTCTCAATTCAACTTAATTCATCATTTAATTTACAATAAAACAGCACACTTCATCAAATGCTACATACTGATATACAATCAGCTTGTTACAACTTCAATTTTTTTTTTTTCCAGGGATTTTCACTTGTTTAATGAAAAAGATTTCAAAATTTTAAAAGAGTCTGTATTCAGTAACTGTTCTGTAACTTGACTCAAAGACCAGACTTTTAGAACATCAAGCAGGCCAGAAGTCTGCCTTTCATTAGTTTTGCTGAGGATCCTGCACGGAACGGCTGGTGCACTTTGACTGAAGGTATGGACTTGTCTGTCACTTGTTGACATCTTAAAGCTCTTGACAGAATACAAAGTTAAGCAGACCAAATTTTAAGAAAAATTCTCATTTCCATAATACTCATTTTACTTCCATGCTGTTAACCCTACCTGCCAGTTTCCCAGTTGTCCAGAGTCTTTCAAGAACAACAAGGCAGACCAAGTTTGCACGCCTATCACGGAAAATAAATATAGAAACAGACTAACGATGTTGCTTTGTTTGTTCAGAAGAAGAACTGTAAGCAGAAACATTAGGATGTGAGGAGAAACTGAACTGTAAGCCATAGCAGAAGGCTGATGCAAATAGGAGAAACCATGCCCAATGATGCAATGTCCATAAAGAATAAACATGACAGCAACGCAGTGAAGCGGCTCCATGGCCCAATAAGCAGAGGGCTGAAGAGGCCTCAAAAAGATGCTTCTTGTGACAAGGGAGGTGAAGCGGACACTGGTGCAGGGGCAAGACCGATGCGTGAGCTCCAGCCCAACACCGCTCCCGGTGCATGTGCCAAGCTGCCCGGAGGAGCACAGCCCCATGGCCCTTCTCCCCTGACAAGGCATTTAAGAGCAAGAAGCCTGCCTGACCTCCTTCCCT